GGCAAGGTATGCGGCGGGAGGAGGCGGTGCGGGCCACGGGCCGCCAGGGAAAGCCTGGCCCCCAGGACCGCCGCCCCCCCCCCCCCGCCCGGCCCCACGGGTGGCCGAGGGGGCCCACTGAGTGAGGACTGGCAGCAACCTACTTCCCAGGCTGAGTCCCTGCACTCCAGGGCTGAAGCCAGCTGAGGGGGCAGTGGACAGGACAGCCCAGTTCTCAGGTCGAGCACTATCACACACCCCGCGTACCCTAGGGCACCATGACACTTTTGGAACGTTCTCTGGCTTCCTGCTTGGCCGTTGGTAGCCTTCGAAAAGGTGGCCCTTCCCATTCCCATGGGTGCCCTGTTCCCTGCCCACTCTCAGTGGGGTTCCCACTTTTCCTGTGGCTCATCTCCCTGAGTGTGGGGTCGCTGGGGGTCCTGGATGACTGAGGCAGGGGCATGAGCTGAAGCCACCTGGTTCCTCCCCCCAGAGGTGTTGGGACAGTGTCAAAGCCTGGGAGCCCGCCCACTGAAGACCCCAGCACTGACACCGTGTGGTCTCCCAGCTCCTCCAGGCCCGGCCAGGCCTGCCTTGCTCGCTGTGTCCACCGGCATGCGCCACGTGCCCACGTGGGAGGCACAGGGACCCAGCCACCCTGGCCCTGCCCTCAGGAGTCTTCCTCCAGTGGGACTCAAACAAGTCCCCAGTTCTAACAGGCTGGTGACAGAGGGACCTCCAGGTCAGGCAGAGCCCTCTGGAGCCTGTGACCTTGGGGCTGCATCCAAGGGACCAGGAAGAGTCGGTTGCCCAGCAAGGGATGGGTGGGTAAGCTTCCAGGGTGGTGCAGAGCCTGGCTGGGGTGAGGCCTGCAGTGGGAGAGCCGGGGGGAGGGGGGGCTCTTGCCACAGAGTGGTTGGGGGTGGGGGCAGGGAGGCCTTGGGCGGCCAAGGGTCCTAACGGAGCCTGTGGGCATTAGTGTGAGATTCTCGCAGAGGCTGACGGGCACTTGTGCTCTTTAGAAACATCACTCTGGCTGCTCCCAGGAGGGAACGGAGGGGGCAAGTGTGGAGCTGGGAGGCCAGCTGGGGACTGTCGGGGAGACAGAAAGAAGCAGCCGGGGCTCAGCGGTGACTGTGGTCAGCCCAAGATGGGAGATGCTTGGTCCTGTTGTCCCCCGGGCCAAGAAAGAACTGGTAGGGCGGGGTGGCCATAGGTGGGGGTGGGGTGGCCAAGGGAGGTGAGGGGACAGAAGAGAGCAAGGCCCGGGGGTGCCTGATGGCCCCTCGTTTCCTTGCGCAGAAGTCACAGTCATGGGGCCAAGGGGAGGGCCAAGAAGGGAAGAAGCACTGAGTAGACTCTCACAGGGATGGGCTGGGGATTAGGCTTTTTCTAAAAAGATGTATTTCTATTTTTATTTCCAGATGTGATTCTGCAGCAAGCAAATAAATATAGTGGGGGAAGGCGGGGTGGGGGGGGGAAGAGGTAAGGATTACGATAAATTAGAAAGAAGCCCAGGTAGGGGAAGGAAGGGTGGGCTGTGGGAGAGGCGGCAGGGAGCTCCCTGGCGGGCACGGCCCCCTTCCATGTCCGGCCAGCCCCTCCTCATTTGCTGGTGGCATCCAGGGGTCCTAAGGCACTGCAGTGGCAGGTGGTGGCAGGACGTGCTGCTTGCTCCTCTCCAGGCCGGTGGCCCGCAGGTGACCAGCTCACAGGTCCGTCACCTTGTTCTCCACCAGGGCTGCTACCTGCTGCAGGCGGCAGGCCAGCTGCATCTTCTGGCCCACGGGGTCCTCCTCCAGGGCACCGATGATCTGCCAGGGTAGAGGAGGGTGTCGTGCCTGAGGCCTCCACCCTCTGCCCATCACTCAGGGCCACTCAGTCCTGTGTCCATGTCAGCAGCAGCCTGCGGGTCCAGCAGGGGCTGCCCCCAGCCTCCCCGAAGGATCGGGACAGAAGCCACACTCCTTCCCTAACCTGGGCCCTCCCCCCACCACCCAGATTGGCACCTCCTTCCATCTGCAGGGAGGATCCTGGGGCCTCCCTCTGGGCCCTGGAGATGTGCCCCTCCCCCCCCGGAGCCCCGAGGGCCTCACCTGGTCATAATACCTGTGGATATGGTTGTACAGCTCTTGCAAAGCTTCCAGGCAGTGAGGAGCCGACGTGTAGTTCTGGGGGTAGCACATGGAGGGGTGAGCCCCAGTCTGGACCTTAAACTGCAAACCTCCCCCCTCCACCCCACCCCCACCCAAACGTGGAGGGGTGTGTTCCCCTCCCCGCCCCCCCAGGGCCGTGCCTCACCCCGGAGAGCTCGGCCAGAGCCGAGTTCATCTCCTGATAGCTGGCGGGGGAGCTCTGGCGGATGTCCGCGTAGTATCTGGCAGTGGGGGACACGGTTAGGTGCAGGCGACCCCCACCCCCCTCCCCCAATGGCCCGAGACACCTACCTCTCCACCATCTGCTTGTAGCGAGGGATCTCTCGGGCGTACAGCAGTTTGTTCACAGGGGAGTCCTGCTCCGGGTAGGGGTGGGCCTGAGCAGGGAGGTGGGGGAGCTCCGGCCCTGTCACCCGGAATGCACCACCGGTGCCCTCTACTTCCCACCTCCTGGCCCCCGTTAGGCGCCACCGCCACCCCAGCCCCGCTCAGGGCTGGGTACCGAGCCTCCGAGGCCTCCGCCCTAAGCCTTTCCTCAGCGCCCCTCTGGCAGCTGCAGCGGCTGGCTCCGCCCTTACCCGGCCCACTTTATGCTCAGAGATAGTGCAGGAGTCAATGAAGGTTTGGGCGATGACGGCCAGGATGGCGTCCACGTTGTCTGACACTCGCACATCAAAGATGAGCTGTGGGTTCTTCAGGGTGTTCACCCAGAACCGCAGCAACAGGCTGGGGACACGGGCCAGCCGCGGGCATCGTCAGCCTGGGCCTCGGACCCGAGTTCCGCAGGGAGCTGACTTGCGAGTCCGTTTTGGGGGCGGCCGGAAATCCAGGGTGGATGACACCACGCTTGGGGGCTCCTGTCCTGGCCCTGTGGCCCCCACCCTGGGCCATGCCCTTATCCCTCTGGAATTCCATATCTCATCTGCATGGGGGCAGGGGACAGTGGGTGAGATACCTGTTAGTCTTCCAGATGTGCAAGGTTTCTGGGTCCTCAATGCCATGCTTCTCTGCCAGTTCGTCCAGGAAGTCGAACAGGTACTTGACGGCAATGGGCACGGGTCTGTTCACACTGAGGACGGCCTGGAAGGCGTCATCCACAAACTTCTGCAGCGTGCCCTGGAAGGTGTGGGAGGGGCCGTGGAGGGGGGCCAGCGCCATGCTCCATCCGTGGGTAGGGCCCTGTCTGTACCTCTCGGGACCACACTCTCTCCACAGCTCAGGTGGGGGGCCCCCTCTGTGTGCCTTCCCAGCCAAGGCCCTGGCTCCCCTGGGGCCAGCTCCCCAGCCACACCAACCTTCATGGAGAGCAGGCGGGTGAGGTAGATTTCTGGAATTGCCTTGGCCCGCGCCCGCTCCCGTTCTCGCTCCCTCAGGCTGCTGCGCCGGGCCTTGGCCCCTTCTGGCTCTTCGGTGGCTTTCACCAGGTGCCAGAGATGGACCCCGCCCTCCTCACCATCCTCCAGCATGGGCGTGTCTGGGGGTGCAGAAGCCCGGCCTCAGTCCTCTGCCCCTGTCCAGGTGGGGCAGGGTGGCGGACGCCGGGAAGAGCAGGGGAAAAGAGAGGCAGAGAGGGTGGCAGCCGAGGAGCTCGCTCAGCCCAACATCCCGGGCTCCCAGAGCTCCTCAACCCGGACAAGCCGTCGCCCTCGTCGGCCCCAGGTCCTTGGCCTCGCCTAGAGCTTTGGCTTGCCCACTGGCGAGGCGTGGGGGATACCCAGGCCAGGTAGACGGCAAGCCCAGGACTGCTGCCCGCCCGCTTCGAGCTCTGGGAGGGGCGGTGGTGGCAGATGGGCACATGTGGGCCGCAGGACTCACTCTCCCCCGGGGGGCAGCTCTGGGCCAGGCTCTGGGAGATGGCGCCTCCGTTGTGCAGCTGGGGGATGAGCGTCACTGTAGCTCCATCTGGGACCTGGTGGGGGGAGGTGAGCAGAGGCCAGACTCCTTCCCTGGCTGGTCCAGAGATGGGGGCCTGCCTCCCCCCAGCCCCTGCCCGCCTGGTACCTTGTAGTGCTGTAGCGTGTTGAGTCTCTTCCAGTGGTTCTGGATCACTGAGGTCAGGTCCTCATCTGACAGGGTTAGATGACCAGCAAGGCCCGAGCGCCACTCTGGGGGCATGCAGGAAAGCCAATTAGCCTGCAGCCTGTCCCCCAAGTCTGCCACTTGAAGCAAGGCACGGCTGAGCATCTACAGGTGGGGACAGGCCCATGCGGGGACTGGCGGGTGGGCTCTCTCACCGAGGTCTAGGGCATGCACTGAGGGCCTTTGGGAGAAGGGGGTGCCCTTGTAGACTTGGTCCAACACCTTCTCTTTGACCTGGGTGATGGTGTCTGTATCGAGCACCCGGGCAGGCACGCGCTGCACCGCACCGCTCCCCGCGGCCCCGCCGCCGGCCCTGGGGCCCACCAACACCATCAGCGTCAGGGGCCGGAAGTCCACATCCTCCCGAAGCAGGCGGCTGTCGTTCAGGGTCCGTTTTGCCTTGCCGGTGACAGCGTCCACGGGGCCCTTGTCCACCTGGTACTGGATGGCCCGGAGGAGCATGTACAGCGGCTCACCAGCCACCTCCTGCAAGCATCGGGACGGGCCCGTGTCAGCTCCGAGGGCGAGGCCTCCGCCCCACACCTTCCCCCTTTCCGGCCCCTGGCAGCCCGAGGCCCCGGGAGAATCGGGGCCCAGGTCAGTGAGGACACGCGCAGCAGCCTGCGCACGAAGCGAGGGGAGGAGGCGTCGTCCGGGGCGCCCCTCACCTTCAGGAAGGCGTACAGACAGATGGACAGCCAGTTGGTAAGCAGCTTCTCTACCATGGTCTCTGTCCTGTAGGGGGCCGGCCCCAGGTCAGAGGGGGGTGCTGCGGGGCCACCCCATCCCCGGGCTGAGGCAGGCAGAGGAGGGAAGGCGGAGCTCTTCCGCCTGTCAGCCCCCATGCCCAGGTCCCTGGGAAGGATGCCCATCTACTTCCCTATGGGTGGGCTTCTGTCCTGACCTGCCTCCTGGGGGCTCCTGGCCCTGCCCACCCCAGGACAGGGCGGGGCGGGCAGCTCAGCAGGGAGCCACCGCCCCTGCCTCTGGGAACCATGGTGGGGTCAGAGCCAACCTGCGCAACATGAGCTTGGGGTTCTTGTGCACATAATGGGCGGCCAGGTCACTTAGCAGAGTCCTCATGATGTCGGTCAGGTACTCCAACTTGCCGTGCAGCGCCAGGGACAGCAGAGAGGCCACGTGGCAGCGGTCCCGCTGGGAGAAGCTGGGCTGCTCCTCCAGGGTGTGGATGAGCTGCGGTGGCGGGCAGGGCTGGCACTCAGGGAAGCCCCGCGTGGTCTCCCACCTCTGTGCCCTCACCTGCTGCCCAGCCCAGCCTGTGCCCAGTGCACCCCCCGCCACCGCCACCCCTGGGGCTCCGTGCCCACCCACGTAGCTCTCACCGTGAGGAGGAAGATCTTGCTGTTGAGCAGGTTGGAGAG